CTGAATCATCCACCAACCTGAGAGACTCCACCAAGACCACTAGCACCTCTTTTGGCCTGGTGCGCCTCCTGCTGGAGCGCGGGATCTCTGCTTCAGTCTATAACCCCCAAAGCTGGGACAGAGGACTGTTGTCCAGTTCCAGTGGAGCTTCCACGCCCACTGGCAGAGCACAGGCTGAAACTTGTACCAACACACCTGAGACGGATGCTGCCCAACAGTCAGTGAAGCGACCAGACACCCTTCTCCTCCAACCTTTCACTCCCCCAAACTCCCCTGGCTCCAGATCTGACTCCTCCACCACACCCAGACCAGTTTTTCAGTTCAGCCCCTCCACTGAAGATTCTCCGTTCTACGAAACCTTCCTCGCCTCCAAACCGGCTCGCGTCATTTTAAAGGAAGTGCTGGTGGAAATGGAGAAGGATGGGGGTCTGTCCGACGACGACGACAGCCAAACAGAGATGTCTAATCTGGGTCTGGTGGACAAGCTGAAAAGTTTCCGGACCCTTTCCCCTCATTCTGCCTCAGTGTCATCTGGGAATACTCTTTTAGCCTCTTTTAGCTCCGCTGGGTTAGGAAGCAGCGCTCTGGGCGGGGGACTCCCAGGACTTAATGCTGGACTGAGGAGGAATCGAAGCTATCCTGCCATGGTGGGGGCAAGTATGGCAATGAAAGACCCAGGCGGTGCCCCCTGCACAGATGTACTCATTCCACATACAATGCAAAATACAAGCACGCATCACACGGCGAATACACACGATATGGACACAAAACCACCAGAACACACACTGGCCACGAAGCCCAAACACCGACCACAAACACTTCAGGAAATGGAAAGGGCGACGTCACGGACAGTTGTACAGAGACACACCACAGCAACGAGGAACACTGACCGACACAGTGATGAAAACGTTTTGAGACGAAACACCAAACCAAACGTTCTGCAGTGAAATACCCAATGACAAGTGAGTCACAAGGGCACGTATACTCACTGAACCAAATAACTTTACGAACACCGTTCAAATTCAAAATCCTCATTAAAGCAGTAGTGACTGAAACTGACACTGTGTCATAATCCCACTGTCTGGAGACTGATGATGCAGTATGTTGCCTTCTTGTGTCACATGTACCAGGGATGTTTTTTGTTTTTTTAAAATCCCAAGTATTTGTCAGAATTAGCTGGCGAATTATTTGCAGTGCTGTGAGATGTTACAGTTGTTCGGCTGTTGTTACAGTGCCCCCATGTGGTTAGAGAAAGACTTACTGAAACCTGATATTCCGAGATCCTGTTTAGGGATGTGCAGCACTAACGATTACCTTTTTGTAATCAAACAAATAGTTTAATATTTAGAGTCCAAGCCCGTCCCCATAACTTCTATGTACATATATATTTTGTGTGCAATATACTGTCATTTCTACAAAAAATATTAAATGGCCCCCACTGGTAAACGGACTGCAGAGCTGTGCCCACAATAATTTTATTTCTTTTTTAGCTGAAAATTAATTGAGGAAAAATGGAAACATCAATTAAATGAAGTACTGACTAAATATTTTTTTCTTTTAAATGAAGAAGTAGGAATAATTACGTAGCCTTAAACAACTGCAGGCTTGCACATCTCTGCTGTCACGTTCTTTTCCCATCAATGACCACAGAACATATTGAACCTGTGAGAGCACATTTTTTTTATGCTTTTGCTTTAATTTTTTTTTTCTATCTTAATTTTTTTTAAATGTTGATTTTATCTGGAATGAATCAAGGCCAGTAACTTCAAAAGCAAAATCAACCAAAGCAAAAACTAAATGTCTCAAATATATTTTTCTCCTCTTGCCACTAAGGTACTTTTATTCCCTTATGTGTTCAGTTGGAACTGTACTAAGCTGCAGTCGAATAAAACAAGTCAAAACACTAGATAGCATATTGTTATTTTCTGCTGGATATGTTATATATTTAGTTTAGAGACAAACATGTTCTTTGGCATTTTCCTCTCACTGTGACTGAATGTTGGTTTGTGCCGAAGCACTGCTTATTTTTTCTTTTTATCTCACAAAAGTATAAATCATGTTGATTTTATTGATAATGTGGGAATTATTGAGTGACTGTATAAACTTGATGCCTGAGTAACACACACACAGAGACATGATCTTATCCTTGAACCACATCATTCATGTCGAAGCCACACTGATGCAGCTCGAACACACAAATACAGAAACGCAGAAGAAGAATGAACGGTCGATTCTTTCAACAGTGACTCTGAAATGTGTATAAAACAGCGACGATAATATAAGTGTCAGTGATGCACAAACACCTTGATCTGTCCCTTATAACCAAAGCTGCAGCAAATGTAAATAACACAACACACTTGCTAAAGTAAGGAATATTTGCTTCTAAACAGATTCAAGTTAATTATTGATGACGATAATCATGTACAACAACAAACTGTCCAAATCAAACCAACATATAAAGGGACAAGGAAGCAATCTCTTAATCTATTAAATTAACCACAGTAACTAAAGCTCCCAGATGCATTAAAAAAAGGACTGACATTTTATTGTTGTTTTTTGTTCTAAAGGGATATTTTTCAGTCCAGCTTCTGTGTTCAATTTTGAGCGTATTTGTCAGATATTTAAATTAAAAAGAGCTCAAAAAGCCAGTACTTTTAAGGGAGATTTGCAGGTACCCATTGTTTGACAAACCAGTATGAAAGTAATGCACTTCTGCATCTTGCACTTTTGTAAAGTGAAGTGATTTGAGCTGTCTGTTAATTCCTGGTTCCAGGGAACTGTTAGTTGACAATGGGACTGAACCACTGTCTTTCTGTCGGTCTGATGAATAAAAGGACAAATCTCTGTCTCAGACGCTGTCATCTATTTAAAGCCTTAATCATTGGATGAGCATTGTAGATCTTAGGTTATTCATCATGGAACATATTTATTACTTATTTTTAACTTGTAAGAAATAAAGAATCTGCTGTGTCCTAGAATAGGATTATCATTCAAAACATTTAAAAGTAACAGTACATTTTAATTATTTTTTCATTCAAAACATTTAAAAGTAACAGTAAATTTTAATTATTTTTTGAAGTCCTTTTGTAAGTTTATTTTATTTTGACTTTCTTTGCGTGCCCACATTAGATGCAAAGTATTTAACAAGGTGCTCAGACTGATCCAGTAGTTTTTGTGCCTGTTTTTCCGGCTTTCACTTAAACAATCTGAATGTACGCCATGGCCAACATTCACCCTGCACACGTGTGTACAGAACGCTGACTCGTCTTTGTTTGTACTCACACCTGAAATGTATATTTTATTTTAAACTAAATAAATGTAAATGTATGTAACACGCATAGCCATGCTAACTTTTGATGTTTTTAAATGAACTGTTAACCTTGAGGAAAAGGGAAACATTTGAATTTATTTTGATTAAAGAGAGGGAAAAGTTTATTTCTTTCAGGGACTGATGTGTTCTGCTGTACAGAACAGACTGAACTATCAATAAATAATATAAGCATAAACTCTGTCTGGTTGACTTTTTTTTCTTTCTTTTTTTTACCTTTTGGACTTTTCCACTGTGATAAGGTTGAATTAGATTGGAAGGTTTTATCAGATGAATCTTCTCAGATTTATGGGCATCCATTATTCCAAAAAGATCTGGTTTGAATGTCACCTCCAGGCCCAGTTCATTATTCACAGTGATAACCAGATGGAGATTGGCCACATTATGAAGGATGGATGATTACGTCAGCATCCTCATATTTGTTTGCCCTCATACACGGTAATACGTCAGCATCCTCATATTTGTTTGCCATTGTTTGCCATCATACACGGTACCGCAACTAAACTCATTTGATCTGAGCTCTTCACACACTGACATAAAACTTTTTTTGAATCAGTCAAATCAAACACGTGTCAAAACATTTACTGTTCTAAGACATTTATTTTAATCATTAAGTTTGATGCAGCGCTGGAATAATAATTAGTTTTATTGAGTAGTTTACCAACTTAACATACAATGTATGCATTGATTAAGAAATCTCTAAGCATGTGGATGTGACCCTAAATATGACCCTGAATATTTTGATCTAAATTTGTCCAGAGCGACTGACCATTATTCTCTGTGCTGTCATATTCCAGATGTTGGTTTACATCCTGGAATATAGTATATTGCTAACCCATTAAAAAACGAGTTCTCTGTCATAGCTCAGGTGTGGACTCATTTAACCACAGAACACCTTTTACACCTGCCTTCTCTGTCCAGTGTTTATTGAATGTTGTTGATTCAGTAGTGATTTGTGCTCAGCAACAATCGATTTCCTTTGTACATCACAGCAGCTTAGCATTTTCCTGGCCTTTACAGTTACAGCTCTGTTCCACAAGGTGGCAGTGTGTGTCAACAAACAGAACGGACAGCTGGCGTAAACACGAACGACTGCCAACAGTAAGCCTGGTAAAAAAAAAAACCGGAACGACTGCCAACAGTAAGCCTGGTAAAGAAACCGTAGCATGGATAAAGTGTGGAGCCATAGTGAAGCTCGGCAGATTTTTTTTTTTCCTAAACAGCTTCTCTCACAGACTGTCTTTCCTGCAGCGGTTTTCAGTTCAGCCTGGCCACATGCTGCTAAGACAAAACCTTATCACAATGTGATTTCATGGCAGTTTAAATTTAGATACAAGTGAGATAAGCCAGGCATCAAAGAGAATAGGATTTAATTAATAGAAATAATAAAAATAATCAACTATGTTTGAGCAACAATTGTTACAGAGCCGTCAGAGAGCAAGGTCTCAGAGGACAGAAAGTATTGGACTGCAAGGTCAGGTTTGTCTGCTGTCTGACGACAGAGGAAATAAAGATGGGCGCAGATGGAAAGACAGAGCTGGATGGTTTCGAGATGGTTTCTGATGCAAACAGCTTTGTTCGCTCCCACAGGGGAAATGAGAACATTCTGTAGAGCTGAGTCAGCCAGGACATGAAAGTAAGAAGAAGGAAGAGCAATGAGATGATGGAGGAAACTTTTTTTTGGCATGCTGTAATTAGTTATTGGCCAGTCTTTTCATTCTCGTCATCAGCTGTGGGGAAAAGCAATCAGACAGAGCAAATGAATCATAGGAGTAGATATCATAGGAGATAGATTGAAAAACACAACACTTGAAGTAAAGAAAAAAAATATTAATGATTTTTATTTTTTCAACTAACACTGATTTCTCCTTCTTGAAGATGTCCCCTAATGGCCGTCTCTCCACTATCTTCTGGTGCTGTGCATGTTTAAATGCCAAGATCACCACACTCAACGCACTCCATACACTCAAGGTCCCGAAAGTCTGCATGAGCAGAATCATCATCAGCAGCTCTGTGTCACAGCCAAAGTCCTTCAGCCGTGACCCCCTTGACTGTCGTCCAAAGAAGAGCTTCTAATCAACAACTAACCAACGAGTCTAAACACAGCCTTAGATTCACACACACTGTGATCACCATCTGAGTTTGTGGTTCTGTCAATCGCATCGTTACACGTGAGTACCAGAAAACACATTATGTAAATTATAATCTTACAAAAATTCAACACAGTGGACAAGAAATTTGTATTTGTATTTCAAAGTTCAAAGTCAGCTTTATTGTCAATTACTTCACATGCACTAGACATACAAAGGAATCGAAATTTCCTTTCTTACTGTCTCATGCGTAGACAAGACAGGACAAAACATTAAAGTGCAAAACTAAACACTAATGTACAGTACGGTGCAGTCAAGTGTGATCAGGTATTAGCAGCAGTGCAAATGGCAAATGTTTACGCATTGTTTTGTTGTTTTTTTTTTTCTTAAGTGAGACTTATGAGTATTATTTTTTCTTCTGTGAATTCACTCAGTCATTTGTCACTCTTTCTGTCACTCTTTGACACACACAAACCAGCTGTAGGGTTTAAAGTGCTGCCATTAGAGGTTTTTTAGTCCAGAGC